AGGGCTTCCCAGGTATCCGATTTTGTCATGGCAGTCGCAAGATGGTTTGATGAAAGTAAGGAGCCAGCAGGGTAGCAGCCATTTTTAGCCCTAGACCAATATGACAAGGGGTAAGCGTACTAGTCCAGTGGCCACGGTCTTAGTGAAAGATATGATAAGATATAAGTGCCTTCCCGCAACTCTACTTTGATTAGATATGAGTGTCTTTCCGCAGCTTCACTTCGAGTAGATAGAGTGCCCCCCACCCAAACTACATTTTCACGCGTTCAACCCTTTCCTGTAAGTGCTTTCGCGACAGCTGTAAACCGATCTGAAGGAGGATAATACAAGCGATTTTCTACTGAGATGCCCCACTCCAATGCATTTCAGGCTGAGATGCCGACTTCAAGCACTCGTCAATCCAACATCGGAATTGGTCGATGGCGCGTCAGCAACTCAGAAATAGGGGCAGGTAGAACATTTTGAAATAGGTCCTGCTTACCGCATATGCTTCATGCTCGTCTAGAAGTGGCGTTTTTCCCAAATAGTTATTTTTCTAGTGACCTTTCAGTTTGACAGCTGGTTGACAACTACATGCTGATATACAGTAGCGGTCAAAAGTGTTCGCCGAAACGATTTTTGGTGCATTATTTTTTCTCGCTTGAGCAACGCCCTCCAAGATTGATATACTATGTTTCTAGGTGTTTTATATCCTCAAGCTTGAAGAATTAGGATGTTCGCAAAAAGTTTTTGAGACCACCACTGCTTGTTTTTCTGGCCCAAAAGGAGAACCCCACGGAAAATTGTTTTGCGGCGAAAATTTTGACCGCTACTGTATGTATGCTCACAAACACGTGTCGCCCAAGCGGCAATTCAACCACACTATCGCTTTTTGGCAATGTTTTAACCAGTTAGCCGGCGTGGAGGCACCGTTTTCGCCTTAAAGGCGCTACCGCATGCAGAGTTCGAGAACTTCTCCTTTGTTTGTCTAAATAGTAGCCTAGAGGACACTCACAGATGTGGTCCCTCCTATGTATGGAAACGAACGCCCCATGCCCATGCCATCGAGTCAGTTTGTTAATAGTATATTTTCCATATAAAAAAGGAGTCAAAATCGTAACTGACCACTGAATATTGCCTTTTGAGTGTCCTCCTCAAAATGGCTTGCCTTCAGAACCTTACCTAGGCATTTCGCCATTTTCAATTTACCATTGTGTAGTTCAATACTTTTACTTCAAGCCGCCTGCTTGGTCACTTTGACGTGTGTTTGTTTACTAGGTCTTTCTGACGTCCATGCATTTCTGTGTAGCTCATCATTGCGGGCAATAAAATAAATGAATAAATAAAATGTTCAGGCATTTTCTGGGAAAAAGGCGGTCAAAAAATCACAAAAAACTAAGTTCCCAAGAATTCTCCAGGGAAGGCAGTCGTCAATGATAACCGCGCAGGTAATCATGTCCGAAAACGGCACTATAAAATTAGCTTTTACTGTAGCAGCACCAACGACGGACTCAACCCTCGGCTCCCGACTAGAATTCTTCGATAAACCATTTCTTCAGTTCATTTCTTAATGAGACAGTGAGAAATGCTCCCGTGGGAATTGAAACGCGTGTCTGTGTACCGCCGGAAATTAGCCTATCTGTCTAAACGGTTTCCTAGAAGAAGCCTTTCTCGACGGAATTTGCGCGATGGCTCTTCTCCGGGATTTCATTGCTTTTCCACGTTGCGCCTCGCAAAGGATTCAGAGTCGGAGATTTAGTTGGCCGCATCATAATGACGATAGAAGGTGTGCTGTTGAGCCTTTTGAGAGCAGAATCCCGATGAAAAGTGACGTAAGCCTTGAGATTATGAGGAACTGCGAATAGCTGCGAGATCGGACCACTCAAGCATAATTCTTCAGGATCTCAGCGCACGTTCTTAGTCGGGGTTACACAAGTGCATTCTTCGGCTGAAGCGGTGGATGCACTTATGCATTTAATCAAATTAATTGATCAGTTGAGTTAGGTAATCAGTTAATTGATCGAATTAATCGATTCAATTCACCTTCAAGGGTGTTTATTGATGCACTATGACTCAGATTAAGTCTTCTGCACGAGCAAGAGGGCAACCTGCTAGGGAAAAGGCTACTGGTCAGTCCGGTCACTTACAATCCTATGTGCCTCGAGACGCTGAGTTCGAATCTGCTCTCGTATCTAAGAAAAGATTCCCCGAAAGAAATTATGAAGCATGAAAGCGCAGCGGTGCGACTATGAACTATCAGGCAAGTAGGTCTAGGATCGACTCCAATATAATTTGCTACTTTATAATAGCAGCTAGAAGAATTTGATTTTGAGGTCGGGTTCTAGTCCCGCTTGGGGCGAAGGTTTTGTTCACAACCCAGCATTCTTGTGAAACAGCTAGGAAGATTTTCAACATAGCACTGAGAAGGGCTCGAGTAGGCTCACCCCGGAGTCGATCCCGCGACCTCTTGGATGCGAGCTTGTTTCACTACCGCTGCGCTTTCCTGCTTCATAACTTCTTTCAGAGTTCCACAGAGGCGAAGCACGTGACGTTTTCTTATGAGATTTTGCCCGACTCTGGGAGACTAGGTCAGAAGTGCTGATTTTGATGAGGGTCCAGAGGGCTGCCCAGATGAGCGGCATGGCCCAAGAGTGTTCGGAAGATGCGGCTCCTTAGATTCACTACTTCCTTTTTAGTTCGTAGTCAACCCCGAAGCATACTCCAAAAGACCCTTTTGTATCCTTTAACCCTTTGGGCCCTGTCGGTGGCAATTGCCACCATTAAATCCAAATGTCTGCATTAACCGCTGGCAAAACATATTTTTGGACTTCAGGCCGACCTTCCCTTCCTAATTCTGCTTTGAGCTGCCGTTGTTTCGCAACGCTAAGCTAAAAAACCTAAGCAAAACTAAGAAGCTGTGCATTTTTATAGCCTGCCTGGTTTCCTTAGTTTGCAATCGAATAGCTTCCAATTCCACTATAATGATATTTACGCGTCCACAAGTAATAAGCAATAGCGAAATTTCCACAGAGAAGTTCAGGTCCGAAAGGGTTAAGGCAGCTGATCAATAAATCCATAAACCCCTCTTCTGGGCTACGTTCGGGTTATGTCTGTAATAAACTGGTCCTCTTCACTTGGCTGTGAATGCAACAAAGTACAACCACAGCTAAAAGTTGCTTTACATCCGGCGATGACCCAAGGCCAACACTCCTTCATAGTCCGTTTCATGTTTTGCGGCGAAGCCGGGATAATGACCACACTGAAAGGTCGTGCTTAATCGAATCGGCGGCTGATCCTATAAGCTTTGCGTGCTATGCATGGTTGCTGTGAATGTGAGTGAATTCAGGCAATAACGACGGTACGAAATGATTGAGCACTCGAGTTGCGGTAATTGGTCCCCACGGATTATTGCAATTAGAAAACGAACACATTAACAATAGCCTCTAAACAGACACAGTTTTTGCTCCTCAGATCGAATAAGCAGCCTTTGAGGTCTGGTCTGGGCATTTTAATTTTTAATCCTCAAAGCTCAAGTAAACAGGACGACTAAAATTGGTTCATTTTTCTAGCCTCTCTGATCTTTCTCACCACACTTAAAGGACGAATTCACGATGAAAAAGCAACCCATTTCAAATTAACCTAGGGATGGTGAGTGGTACACGAAAGAAGGAAGAACCATGAGAAACGGCCCAGAACCCGAGAAATGGGACCCCTTCCTTGCCCGTTGATTTGAGCATTGATGCGACTCTCATCGCTGTGCCCTCTTCAACACTACGCTCTCTCAGCTATCTAATCACTCGCCACGTATTGAACTACGGCGAGTGATCAGATGATCGGTGGGCGGAGATCGCCGGACCCGCCAGCTTTGAGGCATGATAGGTCGCCGAGGTCAAATTTTTCCATGCGAATTGCGCGTCAGTTCGCACCCTCAGGAGGTCCGTGGGTCCCTCAACTAGGTCAGTTTCCCTTTCTTCGACCTTCATTCTAATCGTGAATTCCTCCTTTAAATGCTGAGGAAAACTGTTATGTTTTTCTGCGTTGTGTGTGTGTGGTATGACCATGTGCACAGTATCGAATGAGAAGAAACAAATCCCTAGGCTAATCAACTTTTACGGGAAGCTCATCTCAGGACGGGATCTACCACGGCGGTGGGCGGGACCGGGAGTTTATCAACGTCACACCACCACATGTGACAGTTTTACGACGAGAATTCGAATTTTTATAGCTCTCGTAGGTTTTTGAATGATTATAAAACCGACGCATTCTTTTTGCTATTCTCGATGGGCGCCGAGGCTGAGGTAGTGATTGTGGGGGGGGGCGATTTTTTTTTGAAGGGGGCAGGAATTTTCCGTGGACGATTCTTTTAAATGGCAAAACGATGAATCTGGCAATAAAAGCTCAAAATAGAGTAAATGGCATAGTAAATGACAATAGTTGGAAGAAAACCGAGTAAGGCGGAGGCTAAATGCTTTGGAATACGCCATGTATTCCACTTCTATTTGTAGGCATGGAG